ACAAGTACGGTGAGTTCAACAGTTCACAGTGGCCCTCCTCAGGCCCTTGAGGCTTTGCGTTTTCGTCCCGGCAGCCAGAGGCAGCGAGGGAGTCTGGGCTTGATCCCCTCCGGCAGGCACACCTGGGCCAGGTGACCTTAGTCACGCCCTTTCTGGACCTCAGCTCGACCTCAGTGAAAAATGGGCGGGTGGCACGGTGCACTCGGTAGGGGTAGAGCTCCTCCGGGCTTGCGCACCCCCCTCCCTGCATCTTCTGCAGGGTTCCCTGCGCCAAATGCACACAGCAAGATGCGAGAGCCCAGCTCAGAGATGGTGTTTCCCAGCCTAGAGGCCGCATCTATCGCCTCCTCCACGCCCAGCCCTGGGGGCCGGGTTGGGAGCTGACTTGGCCGAAGCTGAGCCGGGCGGATCCGCAGCGCGCGGGCGCCCTCTGCTGGCTCACAGCGGACGGGCAGGCCCGAGCCAGAACCGGAGCCCTGGGGAGTTTCTTTTCTCTTCCTGGAATGGGGTAATAGCAGTGGCTAATGTTTACTGAGGGTCTGTTCGTATCGGGGACTGTGAGAAAGAATCCCACCACGCGCAAAAACTCACGTTATCCTTACAACAACCCTGGAAAGTGGATACCGAAAGGCACAGAGAGGTTAAGGACCTGCCCCAACAGTTGGCCTCCCGACTCCAGGTCCTACGCTGGGATCCCGGGGGCAGAGAGGTCACCCAAGGCCTCACCTCTGCTCACTCACTCACGTGTCTCTTCCATCCACTCGCCCATTCAGGCTTCCCCTGGAACTGTCAGACTTCTCAGCCGGTCCTTCTGTTTGTCCCCCCACCAACCAACCAACTGCCCTACTGTCTACCCATCACTTAATGAGTACATGGCTGAGGCAGCAGGAGGCCCTTCCCTTATCACTACCCGGGCCCGGCGGGTCCCAGCTGAGAGGCAAAAAACATGATTCTTCAACTTGAGAAGGCACCCAGACTCACACATAAGAAATGCATATGAGCCCTAGCCGGTTTGGCTCAGTGGGTAGAGCATAGGCCTGCGGACTGAAGCCGGGTTTGATTCCGGTCAAGGGCATGTATCTTGGTTGCAGGCTCCTCTCTGGCCCTGGGCCCTGGTCAGGGCGTGTGCAGGAGGCAACCAATGGATCAATCAATGTGCTTCTCTTACATCAATATTTCTCTCTCTCTAAAAAATCAATGGAAAAATATCCTCAGGTGAGGATTAAACAAAGTGAAACAAAACCCCAACCACAGCAACAAAAATAAATGCGTATGAAAACTAGAAAATAGCATGTTCAGCTCCAAGATGGGCAGGCAGAGAAGTATGATCCTAGAGAGAGGGGGGGAGGAACCTGTCCTCCCGTGTTGGTGGGACAGTTACCACTTTGTAGGCAACTTGAAAATGACAAAAAAAAAAAAAGACAAAATTAAAAATGCCTCTGTCCCTGGATAAATTCACTTCTAGGACTTTATTCCACGGATGCAAACGCAACTCCCCGCCCCCGAGGCTGGTGAGCAAAACCCCCTGGGTGTCTGTCAGTCAGGGCCTGGTCACCTGGGTGACGGTGCATCAGTTGCTGGCACCCCCGGGGGGTCCTGTGAGGGAAGAGCAAAGTGGAGGCCACATCCCCAATTATGTTTGTTTTTAAAAGTGGGTGGGAGGAAAGGAGAGTTGGGGAGAGCCTCCCACCCACAGGGGCTTGGAAAGGATGGGGTCATAAGCAGGAGGGTCATAAGCATTCTATTCCCGTCCTACTGTCTGAAGTTCTCTCTAGGTTCATGGATTCTCTATTTAGTGAAAATGAAAATGGGCTCTGCAGCTCAGATTTGCCCATTGGAGTGTCAGGGGCAGATTCATTTGAACAGGGGCTGTGATGTGGTCTCTGTTCTTCACCACCAGTGTGGCCGCTACTGCTCTTATCCCCACTGACAAATACACCTGCTTCTCCCAAACTCTAATATGGACACCCACATCTTAATCCAGAATTGGGATGTTTCTTAAAATCGCATGTCTTGCCTGGCCGGCGTGGCTCGGTGGTTGAGCACTGACCTATGAACGAGGAGGTCGGTTCAATTCCCAGTTAGGGCATATGCCAAGGTTGCAGGCTTGATCCCCATTGTGGGGTGTTCAGGAGGCAACCGATCAATGATTCTCTCACATCATTGATGTTTTGGTCTCCCTCTCCCTCTCCCTCTGAAGTCAATTTTTTAAAAATCGCTTGTGTTACACTTAAAACTGGCAGCATTTTTTCTTGGTGGCACATAAAGGTGCCTCTCACAGGACAGGACGGCAGACTCCGTGAAATGTGGGTGCCTCCCGTGGCACCTCCCATCTGTGCGGAAGGTGATGCTGCTGTGCTCCACGGACCCACAGCTCGTCCCTGCGCAGAGCATCCCGGACCACAGGCTCCGAGAGGCCAAAGGCTGCCATGATGGTCTCAACGGTGGCCAGCGAGCAGTGACAGCATTTGTTCTGCACAGGGAATGAAGAGGTGTGTCCCACAGTTGTGTGGCTTGCTCTTCATTGTTGACACGAACTTTGGGAGATTCTACATAAAAATTCACATTCACGGCTTCTCTTGGCAAGATCTGGCTTTCGTTGAGCCCATGTCCCTGGCACTGAGTAGCACCTTCACACCACCTGTCATCAGTCACACACCAGAACCTCAAAGAGGCAGCCCATGTTCCCGGGGACGGGACCAGCAGCAGCAGTGACGTTGCCTCTAGCACTAAGATCCTCCTCCCCAGGTCACTGCAGCCAGCGTGCAGCAGCTCTGAGAACAGCAGGTGATCTGTAATGCTCACACAGCGTCACTCAGCAAAGAGCTATGCAAGCTGCCCTTCCTCACAATTCCTTCTGCTAATGCCATGTCCTGAGTCCTTCCACTGGGCTCTGAGATGAGGGAATAACATGACCGAGGGGCCACTTACTCCCCAAGGGGGAGGGTAAAAGGGCAAGGGGCCAAGCAGAAACCTGCCAGCAGCTGGAGGATCCCACAAGGCAGGGTCTACGCCAGGGGTGGGGAACGCCCGGCCCTCAGGCTATATAAGGCCTGTGAAATCATTTGGTCTGGCCCTGCCAAGGCAGGAGGGGTGAGTTAACTAAATGTTTGACCAAATATAGCAGGCTAGTTTTTAAGTTGATAACTTCTATGGCCTGCAAATGTTATAAATATCCAAGTGGCCCTTGGCAGAAAAAAGGTTCCCCACCCCTGCTCTACACCATCCACAACGGGGGAAGCTGTGGATCCCTCACCCAAAGGGCCCAGGCGCTTTCTGGGCAGAGACACAGCTCAAGGGACCTGCCCTCACCTCAAGATTGTGGTCAGAGGTCATGGGAGACCCATCACTGGTTTCAGGAACAAAGACCTGGCATGAGCTGGGAACTGGAGTGTGATCCAGGGAGGCCACCTGTTTCTTCTCTACGTTTAGGCCTAAACTCCAGCCATAAACTTGACCACCTGTGAACCCACCAGTGACAATAAGGAGCAAGTCACACGACTGTGGGGCACACCACCACAGCTTGAGGTTTCAAGCAGTTGTCACAGGAAGTCCTAGTTGGGCTCCTGAAGCTCTGAGCCCAGTATCCTGAAGCCTACCAAGCAGGCAAAAGGGAGACACTAGGACTTCAGACGGGACTTGTTTCCTCGCTGGAGGTCACGCAGCACAGAAGAGACGCCATCTTTAGATTTAGCCCTAAACTGGCTTTGGGGCTTTCCAGCAGCGTTTTGAAATACTTTTAGAAGCTGTCCTTCCTCCCTTTGGAGAGTTGACTGAGGGCACAGAACCACGATGTCCCTGGCCCAGTCCTCTTTCAGGGAAGCTGAAAGGCAGCAATTCACTCCGGAGAGCTGATAGAGGGCCGAAGGGCAGAAACTGGGCAGTCCTTTCTTGGAGGGTGGCCCACTAGGAGACAATCTGGCTCTTTCCAGACAGCCAGGTTCTGACATCCGAGCTGACCCCAACAGCCACAAGGGAATGGCCTGGCTCCTACCACAGGACACCAAGGGCGTGCCTGCTGGCGGTTGGTACCACAGCAGGAAGTTCAAATCCTGGGTAAAAACAGCCACAGATGTTTCCACCCCTCACACAGTGAATGGTTGACAAATTGTCAACCATTGGATCAAGAGTGTCTTTTCATAGACTAGAAAAACGTGTGAAAAATCCTTACTCAAATCCCCCCGCTCGCCTCTAAGACTAAATGCAGTCAATATATAGCTTCTGGTGGAGAATAGAGTCCAACAAAGCTACTAAATCAAGGGATGCCACCCTCTTTGCCCTGGCTGGTGTGGCTACATGGTTGGAGCATTGTGCTACGTATGGAAGGGTCTTGGGTTCAATTCCCGGTCAAAGGCATGGACCTGGGTTGTGGGTTCACTCCCACCCGCAGTTGGGGTGCATGTGGGAGGCAACCAATTGATGTTTCTCTCTTCCCCTCTTTCCTTCCCTCCCACTCTCTCTTTGAAAAGCAATGGAAAAAAATATCCTTGGGTGAGGATTAACAACAAAAAACAAACAAAAAGAATGTCACCCCGTTTGCTTACTACAATCTTTTAGGACAAAGGTTGGCAAACTATGGTCCACAGGTCACACCTGGCTCACTGCCTGTATTTGTATGACCCCCTCCAATGAAGAACGATGAACATCTGCAACTGATTTGGTAATAGGGAATACAAACTTTATATTCCAACTAAGCAAAATGTTCTCCTCTAAAAAAAGAATTCTCACTACAAAAAACTATACTCCATTATTATATTTTGAATTTCATCAATAAAAAAATTTGTGGAAATTTGTTTTCTCTCATTACATAAATACATAATATTTTCGATCTTGCCTCTTGGCCCACGAAGCCTAAATATTTACTAACTTAGGCCCTTTGTAGGAAAAGTTTGCCAGCCCCAGCATTAGGAGGCCTACTGGAATCCCAAAGCATCTAACACACGACTAGTGAATGCTGATCCTGTTATATGCCAAGAGCAAGAAGAGCAGAGCTTCTTAAATATTAACGCACACTTTTTTTTATTATATTAAAATCAGGCAATGGTCTGACAATAAAAAGGCTGCTTATGGAATACTGTTATGTTAAACTTTACTTACAGGATGTTAAATCCTTACAACTAAGGTTTTCCCCAGAAAAAGATTAATGAAAACATCAATTGCTTTTCAGACTTGATAGTTGCTGCTTCGAAAGGTGGTTTTACACAAATACTAAATTACCAAAAAAAAAAAAAATCCTTTATAACACAATGAATCACTTTATTTCGGTATGCATCCACATCTCAGCAATTAGTGGTCCTGAACAGAAAAGTGGAAAAACGCAGCCATTTGCCAGGAAGTCAAGCCCGCCAATTTTGGGGTTCTGCCGTGCACATCGAGTTCTTTCTTAATCCCTGCTGAGGACCATGAGAAGCTGCAGCACCAAAACCAAAGTATGCACCGAATTCAAGGTTCTTTTTGTTCCAGTTGTCAGATTCCAAACTAGACCCAAATGGATTGCAAAGATGACCAAATGAGAGCTCTGTTTAAAATTTCAATTTGTAAAAGCAAAAGCAATGACAGGAACAACAACAAAATTCATTCAGAGGGATCATGTGCTTACAAGTGTCTTCTGTGGCCTTCCTGAGCTTAACAAACAAACCTATCAGCTGATGATGACAGCAGAGAGCGGCAGGGCTGCGGGCCCAATTTTCATTTCCTGGGCTGCTGGAGAATAAATGAATGTGGTTCCAAACTAAACGAGGGAGGTCAGAGACTCTTTCCAACCTTACCTGATGGCTTCTGGCCAAAGCAAGGGAGTGTCATGGAAAGTGTTGGGTGGTGATGGTGCAAGAAAGGGACCTGAAGAGGAGGAAGGAGGAAGCAGCACCCCTCGATATAAAGGTGGTGGGGGAAGTTATGGGGAAAGCCCTGAATTCCTCACCAAAGGCCAATTTCGGAGGGGAGCAGAGGGGGTTACAATCTATGCTTCGGCCAAGGGTGGTAGTAGAGTGGGGAAAGGATGGTGGCTCAGAAGGGGAAGGGGCATCATTTAAGACTTAAAAAGAAACCAGGGGTGCAAACGAAGCACCCACACACACCCAGCAGTAGTCCCACAGGCTGTGACCTGAAACCTTCACATCTACTCTAACAAGCCACCCCAAGCTGGAGGGCTGTTGCAGGGAGGGAGGGGGAGGGGGGAGGAGAGGGAGAAGGCAGAGCCCCCAGGCCATGTAATCAGCAGCAAGGTGATTGTGTGACGTGTCTTTTCACAGTTGAGTTAGATGTGCCCCACCAGTTATGATGGGAATCAATTTAAATATACTTTCTTGATCCCAGAAGTTCAACTATGTGGACAGTGGTTACACTTGACAGGATGATTTGTTATAGCACAACTTATATATTTCAAATGGACAAAAAATTAGTATCATTTACAGTATCTTAAGATAAACTGCCTTTGAGCGGGAGCTTCCTTTCCAGTACTTTGAGGTCTACAAGACGTATCTAGAAAATGTACTACTGTGGAAAATGAAGACTGCTTAAATCGAGTGGGGGAGGGGCGGGCCTGTGGCTTCCTTGTTGATTAGTTGCTGTAACACTGTCCTTCAGGTGGCTGAGGGAGTTTCATATTTTCTTTAGACATCATTAGGCGCCGAAGCTCCTGCAGGACAACTTTGATACTATATGAATTCTGCCATTTCGCTAGCACAGATATGGCTCTTGGGTCCACCTATAAAAAGGCAAATAAAAACAAATTACTGCTGGGCTCTCAAACAAAAGAACTGTTGTACACTGGAGTTAACCTACAGTATAAATTTGAGTAAAATGCATTTTTTTAAGTTGAACACGCTGATCATACAATATCTGACATGCAGAAAACCTGCAAGATCCCTTTTCCCTTTTTATGTCCCAAACCCTCACTGTTTGGGAGAAGGAAATTACGGGTAAGTAAAGCCACCTTTAGAGAAATGGCCCGATACTTGGCGAGACTCAACCCAACCAGCTCTAAAACAATGACCTGCTTCTGGGCGGGCTGCTGCCGCTGCCGCTGCTCAGGGCTTGTCCTTTTTCGACTCTACACCCAGGTGGTGGATGATAAAGATGTGCAGGGCAGTCGGAAGAGCAAAGACAACGGGTGGCCTGGACCCAAGCTCTAGTGACAAGGGCCTGCCTCAGAGTCATAATCTCTCAAGTTAACGCAGCATTCCCTAAAAGAAATTTCCCAAAGCATGGGTCAAGTTCTGGTTCTGGACTTTAGGTGGAACTTGGATACAACATTAAACACTGAACACACAGTACAAGGCTCACATCTTTTCAACCCCTCCCCGCCCCCCTCAAATCTTTGGAATACCTCAAAATTAAGGCTTAGCTCACGTGATGTTAACTTATGCCATGCCCTCGAACACCTGCTGATCTCCCCTTTGAACAAGAGAGCAGGCCTCAAAGGCTCCAAGCCCTTGGCAAAGAACACGAGGAGGAAAAATTTATTAACTTTGCTTTGGTTTTATAGTATTTCTTGTTGCCATTACTGCCTTATGGCAAGTGAGACTGGTTTTCATTTATGGTAGTAAAAATAAGTTAAAGAAAGCAAGGACATTAAAAAAAATTATATACCAGTGATCCACAAATTAGGCCAAAGTGTGACCCTGAGCAACATCTTTCACCTCTGTGCCTCAGTGTCCTCATTTCTACCTCATAGGGGTATAGCATGAGGACTGATGAGCTCATATATCAAAGTGACGAGCACAGTGCCGGCTCAGATGCGTGACCCCACCCCAAACGTTCATACTACAATATACGTTATCATCACATAACCAATGAACACGTGGGATCAGGCCTAAAAGTATAAGGCATTTCTCAATCCTGGGAAACAAGTAGAGGCAGAAAAAACAACTTACCACTCCATTAGAACTATTAACTCCATTCATATTAATTTTTGTTACAAATCTTACAAAGGGGGGTGCTTCTGGGTATTTAGGTCCACATTCTATTTTAAGGCTGTATATTCGGTTTTCATAAATTGTCTGGAAAAGAAGGGTAGAGATGTCAGGCAATTACAGAGAATTCAACAAAAAGGCACACCTTCTGAAAGCCCAATACCCCCGACTGCAGAACAGGTGCATCTGCTTCCATTACGCAGTCTACCTGCTATTTGAAATGTCAGTGGTAACTAGTCCCTACACTAGTGTCTGTGTATTCTGGCCTTGGGGAAAAGTTAGCATCATTACATTTTTTTTTTTAAATCCTCACCCAAGGACATGCTTAGAGAATGGGAGGGAGGGAGGGACATTGATCAGTTGCCTTCTGTACATGCCCTGAGTGGGGGTTAAACTTGCAATCCAGGTATGTGCCCAACCAGGAATTGAACCGGCAGCCTTTTGATGACTCAACCAACTGAGCCACTCCAGCCGGGAACTAAAGTTTTAAGTTAGTATTATTAAGTCCAATCAGGTGGACCTGTTTTTATGTTAATTTTTCTACTTTGCAGAGCTGCCCTACACTCTGGGGATGGTGTGTTAAGAGTATTCTCTATTCTGGGAAGCCACACTCTATGTCTATCCACTCCAGGATCATAGCCAATGCATTAAGTGTCAATATGTCCAAAGCACAGAACAGGCATCTCCTCTTTACAGAACTTCAAAAATTAAGCAGAAGATAGGGGTGGGGATGCAGACGGGTACAGATATGAGAGCTGCTTGCCCACTTCATCATCACTCTGGGGCCGTGCACTGCACAAGGGATCTCAGCGGGCAGGTACCAACCCTCCCTTGCTATTTTTACAATGGCCCAAGAGATTACCAGTCTTTAGCGTATGTGTGTGTGTTCGGGGGTGCGCGGGGGGGGGGGGGAACCACACACGCCAAGGTCACCAGGCCTGCACAAAAAATATTCCTTCTTCAAACACCAGCCGTGCTTTTGCTGGGAAACACTCTAAAAATCCAATGCCCCACGTCAATGAACTTTTCACTGCAATGTCTGCCCAATAAGCTGTAAAATGTGCTGCCATTGCCAGGTGTTCCTCCTGCCTACAGTACCCTGGCCCCACCTGAGCTACCCCCCTTTAAGACTGTTCAAGCATTACCTAGTCAAACACCTCCCAGTTCAAATATTATACCGGACAGAAGGCTAATCTACAGTGTTCTGTCCTATATTAAATCACATTGTCTGGGTCTCGTGAACTATACTCGCTGATGGAGTCAGGACTAACCCTTGCTGCTAATCAAACTTAAAACTATTCTAAGAACATAACTAAAGAAATGGATCTTTTCCGAATGCCATGCTTGACAACACCAAGCATAAGCAAACCCACTTGTAGAGCTGTTTTCAGGAAGAAAGGCCTTTATTGTCCTCTGACAACTGTCACGCCACCTCCTGGTTTAAGGAGATTCTAGGAGCCCTTGTCACTAGACCATCCTGTCACTAGGAGACCATGGGCCTTTCTGCCATTTTTCCTCCCAAATCTTCCCAGGAAATTCAATTTGGCTGGACTAAGCAATTTGTGTAATTTAACATTGAAATGAGAACCATTACCCAGGAAGAAAGAATAAACAATATGACGCTGCCTGACGGGTGTGGCTCAGTTGTTGAGGGTCATCCCTTGAACGGTTCGATGGTTCGATTCCAGGTCAGGGCCCATGCCTGGGAAGTGGGCTCAATTCCCAGTAGGGGGCAGCCGATTGATGATTCTCTCATCATTGATGTTTCTCTCTCTCTCCCTCTCTCTTCTCAGAAATCAATAAAACATGTTTAAAACAAAACGAAACAACAACAAAAATCACATTGTTATCACTTGTGTCTGAAGACCACACTGTGGTGACGTCTCCCCATCAGGTGGCACCCTTGAAGGTACCCTCCGATGGTTCCCTTCTGAGGCACCTGTGCCCTTTCCTCACTGCATGCTGCACAAATAACTGTTTCTTTGTAAACAGCGACATCTAGTGGTCCTTGGAAAAATAAAATTAGAAGATGTGATTTAAACCCCTGAAAACATTGTCTAAATCAAGCATGTCAAACTTGCGGCCCACAACAAATATTTTTGCGGCCTAGCCAATATAATGCTATGTAAGAAACGTTTTAATAAAAAAATCATAACTTAATTTTTACAATATCCTGTTATACATAATTATTAATAACGAACTACAACATTCGCTGATTACTATAATCATGCTGCATTCATTTCCCTTATGTACCTTACTCGCAGGCACACCATTTCTCTCCACTAATACTTGCAGCGAATATTTTAGCAGCTGACTGCCACATCATTAGTCTTGGACTGACTTGTTTGGTGTGCTCAATTCGGAGAACAAGAAAAATAGAGGTTTATTTGCGTTACACTTATTAATTTGTGCAGTTATTCAGTGCCTGGTAAGTTAATGTTCAAAAAAAATATTAATTTTATTAAAATGTTCTATTATTTTATATTAACGATTATTCATTTATTTCAGCCCTTTGTATTCAACATGTCTCTATCAAAATAAACCTATGTTTCTATGAAAACTGAAGCTTTTGTTTTTTTGCGGTCCACATAAACTTTTAAAAAATATATATTTCAAGGACTTGTATGTATGCATATAAGCATAACCAATGGACACAAGCCACTGGGGGGTAGGGGAAGCCAGGGGAATGTCAAGAGGGCGGAGGGGAAGGAGACATATGTAATACTCTTTGTAATACTTTAAGCAATAAAAAAAATAAAAATAAAAATAAATATATTTCAGAGAGGAAGGAAGAGGGAGAGATGGAAACATTGATGAGAATCATTGATCAGTTGCCTCCTGCACGCCCCCTACTGGGGACCAAGCCCTCAACCCAGGCATGTGCCCTTGGCTGGAACCGAACCCAGGACCCTTCAGTCCTCAGGCCTACGCTCTATCCACTGAGCCAAACCAACCAGGACAGCTCACATAAACTTAAACCTTGTTTATTTAGCCCATGTTAGCCTTTGAGTTTGACATACTTGGTGTAAATCAGCGGTTCTCAACCTGTGGGTCGCGACCCCTTTGGGGGTCAAATGACTTTTCACAGGGGTCGCCTAAGACCATCAGAAAACACATATATAATTACATATTGTTTTTGTGATTAATCACTATGCTTTAAGTATGTTCAATTTGTAACAATGAAATTGGGGGTCACACAACATGAGGAACTGTATTAAAGGGTCGTGGCATTAGGAAGGTTGAGAACCACTGGTCTAAATACTGGCCTGTCCCTAATAAAACCAAACTGGAACATTTTAAGATTCAGAAGGTATTGATAATATACCCATAGAAACCCTTCACATCCACTTAACAGAGACTATATATTATAACGAAACCAAAACTCAAATCTGGATTTCCACCCACCCTCAACCTGTTCCACCATCTGGCAGTTAGTTAAAGCAAAAACTTAGCAGCCATCCATGATTCCCTTTTCCGGTACCCCCTACCTTCTCATCATCAAAAAATCTCACATCCGCCCACTTTCCTCCACCACTGTACCTCATCTGAAGCTTCTAAGTCTGATTTTTCTTTAGCTCCCTACAATCTGCTCCCCATACAGCAACCTCACTGACCTTTTAAATCCAGAAACTGTATTTTCAGACTTAGCCTTTCTACTGGCTTCCTAGTTACCTGAGAAGAAAACCAAAGTTTCTGAATGGGACCCTGTGCACCCTTGCCTTCTTCTCCTTTTATTTTCTGCCTCCCCATCCAGGCCCTCTGGCCTCCTTACTCATCAAACGTGCCAAGTTCTCTCTATCTGGGGCCCTTATACCAGTCCCTGCTCCCAGGCTCAAGTGAACTTTCCTCTCATAAGTCCTACTGACCACCCCCTCTGAAGACTCACACCCAGTCTGGTATCAAACCTCCCTCATCAAACAGAACAAGGAGGGCAGGACCCCAACAGAATTAGTATTCAAATGTTCATTGAATGAATGAATGTTGTCCTTCATATTCATGTAAAATGAGCAGCTTGTTGCCCTTAAGGAGTTTCCTCAGAGGAAAAAAACCCCACTCAGTAAACATAACAAGTAGGAAGCAAACAGGGACATGATTTCCACACAGATTTATGGAAACTATAAAAGGTCTATCCTAGCACAGTCTCTATCAGCAACTACACACCAAGTATCTATAGTTGTCTACATGGATCCCAAATCTATCCCTATGTGTATCCTGCATTCATGCTCAATGGTTTTGTCTGTCATAAAACTCAAAGACAGAATTTCTTACATTAAAAAAGTCCTTGGGGGTATGGGCACAAGGTAATTGCCAAAGTCACAAAGTCTTTTAAAGTATTTGATACCACATTTTGGAGGCTCTGATGCACTAATATATTAATCTACTGGTATATTTTGTGGCTTATCAGTATTGATAAAATTTCACTGATATCTATTAACAATAATATAAAAATGGTTAAAAAGGTGGGCAGTTTATTAATAGGATTCTGATTATTACACAAATTAAATCTTAATATTACTTTTGACACTATGAAGTCTAATTTTAAAACATCCATGCTATGACTAATTTCTTAGAAAGAAAAAAAGAAACACTGAATTCTGACCACTGATGTTCAACTGGAAATTTCATTGGAACACAGTATACTAGTAAAATGGCTCAAGTCAGGTAAACATAGAGACCCCTGAAGGGTCATTAAAAAGCCCAAAGTTAAGATTTTTTATAAAAAACAGGGTCCTATAATTTGGATATGAGTTAGAAAATTAATCTTGTGTTTGTGCCTTATCCAGGGGACTCCCCAGATTCTGAACTTGAGCTAGACGAAGAGGAAGCCATGAGGTGCTATCTGGTCAGTCTTAAGTGGATTCTATATCCTTGGTTCTCCCTCTACCTAGAACCTCTTATTTTATTGTCCCCTCTTTTAGATCAATTTTCCTTTGATTTGGATATATTGAGGTTTGTTGAGAAGGATTTTGGAGAGTAGATTAACAAGTTCCAAGAGTGAAATTACAGTGTGTTATGTGTGTGGGGGGAAAATTCATCTTATTTTTTCTCTACATAGGGTACAACGCTGTGAAATTCAGTCTTCAACTGATGGCCCTGCAGTTCTCCTAAAACATAGATCTTTGTTTCTTTCTTTAACAAAGTTTAAACTAGTATTAATAAATTAAAGAGAGAAACTGCTTGTCTGTCCACTTCAGCTTTGTTTTAAGCCCATTTCATATTGTTGTCTGTGTTGTAATTCATACTTTTGATACCATTTCTGATGTGTAAAATTGGTTGTCTTGCAAATATCTTATAAAGACTTCAATCATAAATAAATTACTGTGGCTGTTAGAAAACAAACAAACAAACCCAACAGCGTTCTGGTTTTCTTCTTTTGTGTGTGAGTGCTCAGGGACCTTCTAAAAAGGTTCCATGGAAAAAAGGAAATGTGCCTGATGGAGAATCGTTAGAATATTCTGTCTCTGTATGGTACACAGTTCTTAAGATTCATTATTTGATCATGAAACACTTCCCACGTTGTTGATGTGGCTTGAGCTTCATGGAACAATTTGGCAGTGCCTATCAAAATGTGAACCAGGCATGCTCAGACCAGCAAGAGCATTTCTAGGAATTTCCTACAGGCAGACTCATACTTGTGCACAAAAATGTGAAGCACTGTCGGCAACAGTAAAAACAACTGTAAATAATCTCAATGTCGCCGAAACCGGTTTGGCTCAGTGGATAGAGCGTCGGCCTGCGGACTGAAAGGTCCCAGGTTCGATTCCGGTCAAGGGCATGTACCTGGGTTGCGGGCACATCCCCAGTAGGAGATGTGCAGGAGGCGGCTGATTGATGTTTCTCTCTCATCGATGTTTCTAACTCTCTATCTCTCTCCCTTCCTCTCTGTAAAAAATCAATAAAATATATTTAAAAAAAATAAAAATAATCTCAGTAAGGGGTAAACCAGGAGAAAAGACACGGCACTAGGATTTTAACAGAGAATTTAATATAGGGAATCAGCTACATCAGTGTCACTGGACTGAAAAAAAACTTTAAAAAGGGAACATGAGCTAATACAGGGCAATAACTGCAGGGAGCAGGTGGTGACCCTTAAGGTCGGGGGAACAAAGGGAACAGGCTGCAGTTGATCAGACCTAGAGGCTCAGAGTGGTCTCTGGAGCTGAACAAAGAACTCTGAGGAGGGGGTGCTGTGAGGCTGGTGCTGGGGGTGTCCCCCAAAGCTGAGGCTGGAACCCATAGGTGATGCCTGAATGAAGGGCTATTACCAGAGTGGCAGAGACAGCACAGTCCCTTCTCCCTGCCTTTCAGGCCTTCTCCTATGTCCTGAACAGAGAAAGCAAACAGGAAGCAGCTGACAAAGGAAAGATGTAGTTTGTAGTATCCAAAGCAGAGCAGAGAGAGGTGGGCTTGGAGCTTACTAACCAGCACCTGCACACGCCCTCTACACAGTGACAAGACACCATTTCCGTTGTACACAAACTCGCTCTGTCCACCAGTCGGAGTATCCTTCTGAGTGAGCCACAGGACCCATCTAGAGGCCATAGTAATTACTCATTTCTCTCTTCAATCCTAGTGCTACAGGGATATTCTACAACCTGAAGACTAAACTGTCAAGTTAACCACACAATACGAATACAGTACAAAGGAGAAGAGACATTTGCCCCTTCCCACTTACTTTCTGTTTTTGTCAGTGTCACCCCAGCACGAGCCCCTCCTCTTGGCAGCAAGAACTGCTCTGGCCTCTAGCGCGCTCCTAACCAGCCCCTCTGGCCTTCTCCAGTGCTGGGTTCTGATGGCCTAGCCTCCTCCCCTGCCCGCCCAGGCCCAGAGAGTGGCTAATGTTTTCTATAGTGTTACCTTTGTGTTGCCTTTTTGCTTTTTTTCAGTCCAATATCTATTTGATCAACTTCCTATATTAAATTATCTTTGTTGAAATATCTAGTATGGTTTCTCTTTTCCTGACTGACACAGAGTTAAGGGGAATAAATGAACTTCTTACTCCATAT